CCCACCACCCCTCAAAGGTAGGATTAGTGGCGGAATGTGGTGTTGAGACAAAGAGGAAAGACAAAGGATCCAAGCGCTTAATTGATGAATTAATCTCAAATATTTTCTTTTATTTTTATACAAATCCTCTAGAGTCTTCTTATTCTATATACTTTCAAAAGAGTTCAAAGAAAGTATTATTTATTTTTTATCAACAAATAAATAAGAAATATGTATAAATAAAAGTTTATTGTAATCTTTAAAAATCAAGTACCTTGTAGTTTTTCTTCTATTTTTTAAATTTTAATCAACTAAATATAAGTCTAATATGATATATAATACTTCCTCTGTTTCATAATGAATACCAAACTCTAAACATTGTGTAAAATTTTATCATTTTTTAAAATTATTTTAATTGTAAATTGGTATATAAATAAAAAGTCAAATTTGCACCGTCAAAATATATCAAATATTTTACAAAATAAGATGTGATAAAAATATTTCACTTATATTAAACGATTAATGAAAATATACAAACAAATAAAAAGGTGTATTTTAGGATAAAGGGAGTGAGTATAAAAAACACTAACTAGTTGGAATAGGTAACACCTAATTAACCTTGAGCATTTACCTCTCCCATTCAAAGCCTCGCCATCTCGATAGCGCGCACCATACGTTCCACTGCCGTTGCCGTAAACCTTTCAAGTATGGCAAACGCTGTGGTGGCTGATCCACTGGTGCCGCCGGAAAACGCCGCTCTCACCGACACTACCTCCATGGCCGATGACTTGGGTGACCCCCTCCCTGTTCCGCCCATGGACCCCCTTTATTTCTTCCAATGCGACGAAATCTTGATGGATGATCTCGACTTCGACTTCTCGTTCGACAATCTCAATCTCCCCTCCGACGTCGATAGCTTCATCGACCCCAATTTCCTACTCGGCCCCGTCGACCGGTGTGATCCGGCATTGTTGCATCACGTTGACGCTGCTTGCCACTTGCAACCCGGGATTGGTCCAGATCCGATCGGGGATCTGAGGAACTCTTCTTCCGATTCGTGTCAATTTTCGGGGGATCAGATTGATGGAGATGCCGTGCTTCTGAATTCTTCACCCCTGGGAATGTGCCCGAGCGATTCTAGGGTTCTGAATTGGGATTCATCCGGATCGCACCAGATTTTTGGCGATCTTTCTGGCGATAAGAACGTGTCTTCTCCGGATTCAAATTGTTCCAATAAGGACTCTCAGGGGTCAGCTAATGGAAACCAAGGGTATATGGATCCTAGGGTTCCCAGTTGCCATTCTCCAGATTCTCAGGGTTCAGGTAATTGCAGCTCCAATGTCTCTTCAGCTCCGAAATCTTCATCCGAATGCTTGAATCAATCTTTGAATTCCTCCCTAGGCTCTGAAGACAATTCACTTAAAATTTGTGAGGTGGGTCACAATTTCAAATCAGATGAAATGAACAGCATTCATAATAATTCTACCTCTGCTTTGAAGAGGAAAAACCAAGGAGAATCTGATAATGTAACAAACAGAATGAGAAAATGTAGAAAACCCATTGACATTAGTCACACTGAGACTAATATTACCAACACCACTAGTTTTATTAGTGAGGAGGAAGAGAAGAAGAGAGCTAGATTAATTAGGAATAGGGAGAGTGCTCAGCTTTCGAGACAAAGGAAGAAAAACTATGTCGAGGAGTTAGAGGGTAAAGTACGGACAATGCATTCAACTATTAATGAGTTGACTGCTAAAATATCATATGTAATGGCTGAAAATGCCTGTTTGAGGCAGCAGATCGGAGGGGGTGGCGTTGGCATGAGTCCCGCTAATCCACCTCCACCTCCCGGAGTGTATGCCCCGGTTATGTATCCATGGATGCCATGCACCCCACCTTACTTTGTAAAGCCACAGGGGTCCAACGTGCCATTAGTTCCAATCCCAAGGTTGAAGCCTCAGCAACCAGTTTCTTCAACTAAGAAGAAAGAGAGAAAGATTAAGACGGCTGCAAGTGTCAGTTTTCTTGGCTTGTTTTTCTTTATACTTATGTTTGGTGGATTGGTTCCCATGATAAATGTAAGGTACGGAGGGATGAAAGAGGCAGTTTTGGGTGGAAATTATGTAAAAAATGGACTCTATGATAACCACCACGGAAGGGTGTTAGCTGCAAATGGAACTGGTAACTGTGTAGGTTTTGGTAATGGAAAGCATTTTAGTGATGGCATTCGTTGCGGTGAAACAGATCATAATGGAGATGAGCCAAATGTTGACCTTACTAAGACTGTTTATTCACAAAATGGTAGTGAGCCCCTTACAGCCTCTCTGTATGTTCCGAGGAATGATAAACTGGTGAAAATTGATGGTAACTTGATCATTCATTCCATTCTGGCAAGTGAAAAAGCTATGACCGCGAATGGAAGTGGTGGGATGGAAAGAATTCAAGAGACTGGTCTGGCAATTCGTGGCGATTTTCCCCCTTCCATGAGGAACTCTCACATGTATCAAGGTCCAGCTGAAGGTCAGAAGGCCTTGGTTCATGGTTATGTTGATAGGGACAATTTTAAGAGGTCAACATCCGCAGATGGTCAGCTTCAACAATGGTTCCATGAAGGGCTTTCTGGTAAGTAACTAATACCCATTGTAAAACGTATTTTTTAATTTCATGTAGTTAATTGGGTCATGCTCCATTACGCGCATGTTGATTTTAAAGTATCAATATTGTAAAACAACATAAGATTAAAGACCCATCTAATCAGGGTTATTTGGATGAAATGATTGAACGTTATGAAAGGCAAAGCATTCGGTAAAATTGATTAGAGCCACATATGTAAGTCAAAGGCTACTTATTCTGATCATTTTGCAGAATAACCCGATAATTACTACCAAACAAGGCTTGCATTCATTTTTCGTAAGCAGGTTTGGATGACAAGGGCATCTGGCATAAACTTCGTTACCAAATTATTATTATTTTGCACAAATCTATAGGACAACGAACTTTAGATAATTAATTGACACTAAATTATATGCCTCGTGTTAATACATGGTTGGGAGTTAGTAGGCAGTTATGTATAGGTGCAAGGTCATTTTGATGTGTGGGCTGACTTGATCTGGTTCATTACGAAACTACCATTGCAGTAAATAAAATTTGAAACATCCTGAAGGATGTTTTCTTTGTCATGCAAACTGGTGCGGAATGCTTTAGGTACCGTTACTCAATTTGGGTTGGAGGGTTTTTAGGGGAAGGTTTTGGCTAGAGCTGTAGTCTATAACTTGATAATTAGAATGTTACTACAAACGCAGAAAAGACCATTGAAATGTCATATGATAATCAATTTTTCATTGCAAAAGTTCCAAGTTATTAACTACGGAGTATGATAATTTTAATGTCCTCGTCATCTCCCTCTTTTTGGATTTAGTTGCTTTTGCTTTTCGTTTTCGTTTGTCTAGATTCCGTTCATTTTCCAAATTCACTTATGGTGCATTTGGGAACTTGAATTTGGATTTCAAATCTGGATTTGATCCAAATTACTGGTTTTAAAACTTAAAAATTTGGATTTGGACCAAATTCCTCTAATTCATTACAAAGCTCAATCGTAAATCCACACCTCTCCCCATGTCATTTACAAATTCAAGCCCAATTTTTTTTTTTAAATTTATAACTTGCAATGAGAGAAATCTCCCATCATGCAACAATTCCATACATATCAACTCGCTTCCCTCACCGTCTTTGCCGACTTCAAAATTCAAGTTCTAGAATTGAAATTTTATGATTTTTCAAACAACACTTGGAATTTGAAATTATGGGATATGAAATATTAGAATAGAAATCTAAGATTTTAAATGAAGTCTAGTTTTCAAACATTACCTTAAGAAACCATGATGAATGGTTTAAAATATCCTTGAGGTAGGGTATGAGAATTGTTGGAATGAATGATTGACAAACTTATTTGAAAGACTTATTTGACATTTTAAACTCATTCCTTAAAAATGAGATTTTTTAGAAAACAACTACCCAGTTGGATCCCACAAGAATAGGGTGTGGGGAGGGTGTGTGTGCACATAGTCACATACCTCGCCCCTCCAAAACATTCAACATGCACCAATGGTTTCCTATGTTGTAAAGGCCTTGTGTATGTCTGACTTTGGTTTTCATCATGCATGTGAAGGGCCATTGCTAAGCTCGGGGGTGTGCACAGAGGTATTTCAGTTTGATGTATCATCAGCCATAGTTCCAGCAACCTTTTCCTCCTCAAGGAATGTATCTATTGAACCATCGTCTCAGAACGCCACAAGCCCCTATACCAGGCAGCGAAACAGAAGGATCCTTCGTAGTCCCATTCCGATTTCTTCTTCATCTTCTCAAAACACATCTGAAGAAAACGCCCGAAGAAATGGACCTAAAGAAAACACCGGTCCTAACAGGGGGACACTTGCTCCTCCACTCATTGTTTCAGTGCTTATTGATCCAAGAGACGCCGCCGCCACTGATGGTGGCGAAAGCATGATGGGTACAAAGACCCTATCGCGGATCTTTGTTGTTGTATTGATAGACAGCGTCAAGTATGTCACTTATTCCTGCCTTCTCCCACTCAAGATATCCGTCCGCCACTAGGACACTTCTTGCACCTGTATGACTATATAAGTTAAACTGTACCTGGAAGAAGCTAAGCTAGGGAAAAAGTCAGAATGTGCTTAAGTTAAATGTTTGTCTTTGTTTTCTCATATGAATATGCAAGTGCATATTTATTGGACTGGTACCTATATATCACTTCATATAGAAAATTGTTTATTCTTTATGTTTTTGAGTTATGTTGGCTGTGTCATTGTTCTTGTTGTTTAGAATTGCTTCCTTACTATTTACATGGTCAAATTTCATTCACTTTCTTTTCCTATTTTCATTAGTCATTTGATAAAATATTATAATCATTTCACCACTAGTTTTGTAGATTTCTATACCGTTTTTCATATAAAATGATTTGAAAATATAGCTTCAACATTGTAAATCGAAACAAACAATTTAAATTAGGACAAAGTATATTACAATATTACATAGTTACGAAATTGAAAAGCAAATTAGAATTGAGCTAATACAAAGTACAATAAAAAGTCCCAATGGGTTTTAAACCAGTAACAATCTCCTCCCCACTCAAGGAAAAAAAAAGTTACAGCTCAAAGGAATCGACAATGGCTTCTAGAGTTTTCTGTGAAGATTGCCACTGTTTCTCACTGGCGCTAACCACAAAGAGGACAACCGTGTCTCCCTTTGCCGTGGCTTTCGCAAGGTTGTGGGACCCGGTCAGCGCGTACGGAGTCTCAAGAACATATCTGTAATACTGCAAAACGGAACACCACAACAACAGGTTCATGAAAGTTTGTTCATCTTAGCAGCCAAATACTCCCTCCGTCCCATTTTACATTTCCCATTTTACATTGGCTGGTTTGACAAAAAAAAAAGTGTGATTAAGAATGATTAGAAGTGGCATCATACCGTTAGACCCCCATGCATTTCAACGGAAGCCCGGACAAGTTCATCAAGGTCAAATGTGTTCCCGGTGACAAAAGGGCCGAGGGATGCGATGACCTTTTCTGGGGTCCCAATGTCCTCAATTGTGGCATTGGGTTTGTTTGTAAGGCGTACCAAAGGCGACGCCACCACCTGTGCCTTCCCCTGCTTCTCGTTCTCGAATCTCACCTCGATCCATGGCTCGGCGCACTTGGGCTGGCAATAGTTCCCAGACAATATGTTTGCCACCCGAGTCTGCTTCCATGTAGGCGGGAGCATAAACCTGTATGGCTGCACATTTCCTGAAACCAACTAAAATTTGGAGCTTCATCAGCCCCTTAGACCCATGGATCAAACAATAAGTATTCAACCACAACGATCCAAACGACCGACTAGTAGGGTTTTGGAGGGTAGATGTATGCAGACTTTCCCTTGGCTATAAAGGTAGAAGAGCTATTTCTTAAAATATTTTCCATTCAAAATAACATAAACACATGTTTTAAAAACAGCTAATAAAAGAAAAAGAACAAGGAGAAAACAAAGGAAAATGAAAGAGTATGTAGAAAACAACACAAAATCACACACTATTACTAAGGTCATATTAAGGGTTTGTTTGAATCACACTTCTCGTTTGGTTTAAAGTTTTGAAGAGGAGGGGACCAGAAATTTGCTAGCCCCCCCCCACCCCCCTCACCCTACCCACCTTGCCTTATATAGCTTCCCACCAAACTAGGATTAGGGATGACAACGAGTCGGGTTTTGGTCGGGTGGAGCTTCACCCTCATCCATCTATCAGCTCCATATTCATCACCTGATTCATTCATCCATCATCCGTTACATGCATCATCCCATCGGATCCATCACCCACAGGTGAAGCGGGTGAAAATGAGTGATATAAGTAATAGTTTTTTAATTATTAATCCCATTAAATGCCAAAGTTATGAAGCGTATTACGCAGAAAATATCTTTAAAAATAAGATATTAATGATAATGATAATAAAACCTTGCAAAGAAACAATAAGTTACAAACTAGGCTTTTATAAAATGGAATATTGGAAACTGGAACAAACTTATGCATCCAACAAAGATAATATTTTTAGTTATAATTTTTTTAAAGTAAATATGAATATGTCGGGCGATGGATCGGGTGATGGGTGAGAAACATCTACACCCGCATCTGACATGATCCATCATTAATCCATCCATCATCTGTTCATCCCCCTTTTCTTTTCAAGTTTTTATTCATAAAGGCGGGTCGGGTGGATCGATTATCCATCAAATTAGGTAGAAATTGCCATCCTAATTAGGATTTTTACGATGGAATCTAAAAATTGTGACTAATTTATCTCATCAATTATACTCCCTTCGTCCCACAAAAAAGTTCCCATTTTGACCATAAATTGGTCAAACTGTTGCACACTTTGACCATAAATTAAATATAATCTAAATAAAGAAATGCTAAAAAAATTTGAGATATCAAAACTAGATTCTAAGATGAATCCAATTATATAAAATTTATTCCATAATTCAATATACCTTTCTCACAATTTGTAATCAAAGCGTGTAAATATTTGACTAAATACTATTCAAAATGGGAACTTTTTTGTGGGACGGAGGGAGTATTATATTGTCATCCATTTTTTCTCATAAAATATAATGATATTTTTTAAAAAGACTAATAGGTCGATAAGAATATAACAATAAATATAATCATTATCTCTCTTTCTTCCTCTTTTAAACCAAACACATAAGAGCATGGGCAATGACAAGTAGAAAATGGAATGTCACATGGTGACGTGGAATATTTTAACCAATCAAAACTAGTGCAGTCAGCGTGTGGCAAGTGAATGGAGTGGCATGCCTTACAATGGCAAGTAATTGTTTTTGTCCATTTTTACACTTTTTAAATATATTTTAATTATTAAAAATCATTTTACTTATATTTTTTTTTAACAAAAATAGATGTACTCCTATTTTAAAAAAATCTTTTTTTTGTACAAAAAAAAATTTAAAAAAAATTAAAAAAAAAAGAAATCTGACTCGCGGAAGCCTCATGTACCGTGGAAGAAGTGGAATCCCACGCGAGGCAAGCTGATGGATTATCCTACATGTCATGGCATGGCAAGCGAATGGAGCACCGCTGCACATGCTCTAATTATTCTTTCCATCCCTTTTCCTTTCCTCTCATCTTTCCCTGCCATTTTCTCCCATCTCCATCGAACTAAATGGATCGTAAGAATTTTTGTGTCATCAACTATTTTGTATAATTAGATTTACTTAGACCAGACAAGAATTTTAATTGACATTTTAATGAATTGGTTGGTGCAAACTGCACGCTTGTTCGACGATATTACAAATTTCATAGCGGGGTCTCCAAGGGGCGGCAACCCCTAGCTGGGGTTGAGCTGCCACGTTAGCTTGGGAAATTTTATTTTGAACATAAATGCTTTATGAAAATCCTTTGAATTTTTGTAAACAGAGTTCAAAGTTATGCACATTCGTATCTAATGTTTATCTCCAACATTCCTTACTAAGAGACCCAATACAATTGAATGTTTACTCTTAAACATTCGAATGTTTCGCGATAAGACGCGATGGTTCGCGCAGAAAACCATTGAAATGTAATGTTTAATTGTTTATCTAAAACGCTGCATATATTTAAAATTTCTAGCCAAACATTTGAATGTTCGGCGTAAAGTTGTGTTGTTTCGTCAACAGACATGTCAGATCATTTTGTGCTCTATATATGTGAAGTCCCAGGTTGTGTTTGATACAAGAGAACTTCTATATGCGTTCTAAATACTAACGTCTTATCCAATTGAAGTATTTTGGTATACCTTGAAATAAGCTCAATCTGAAATCGACCACTCGATTCGTTTAGCCTACTATCAAGTTTCTTCAGGTTCGTTCGTATACCGTTCCACAGAATGCTGTTACACAGCGTTATCACCCTCCCGGAGTCCCAACAAAGATTAAAGTTATTTGCAATCTTTGTTCTCTAAACAAAAATTAAAGTTATCTCGAATCTTTGTTTTACAATTATACTGCAGGAAGATCAATCTTAAGCGACATGTATTCAAGCTACGAATTACAATAATTTCTCTGAAATAGACGGGTAAAGAGAAGGTTGAAATAGTACCGGCACGAAGGGCGGGAGTGTCGGCGGGTTTAGCTCTGTAGAGGACAAAAGAAGGGTCGGTGAGCGACGGCGGGAGGAAAGAGCCGACTTCTACTTCCTTGGCTTTCGCGGGCGGCGGAGGAGGAATTCCGGTTAGCAGAGGCGCGATGCCCAGCCCTAATTTCAGCATGTGTCGTCTCGGAATGTTGGTGCTCTGGTGGGGTTTGACGGAGGAGGCGGTGGATGGCGGCGGCTTCGCGGCGGAACTGGAAGGGGCAGTTGGGGAGAACATGGCTGCCGCCATTTTTCGCGGTGCCTGCGCCGGCCGAATCTGTGGCTGGCTCGGAAGATGAAATGAAATGGGGTGGATGTACACTTGTACTCCTCTCGTTTTTAGATGAGGTTTGCCCAATTTTGTTTGGGAAAACGTAAGAGTTACAAACATTCACAAACTTCGATTTATATTTTGGAGATTTTAAAATGAAATATTTTTTATTATTTGAGTGCATCTTATTCTTAGAATAGTGTTAAAAAGACAAATTTGCGAATTTTGTGAACTGTTTGTTTGTGACTCTAGCATTACTCTTTTGTTTCAACCATTGTAGAAGTACACTAACAAATGTATTTTAAGTTGTACCTCAAAGAAATACACAAGTATTTTTACAGTTTACACTGACAAAAAATACTAGTGTGATCAAAAAAAATTGAACAAACATTTTGTGGCATTATAATTCATTATATTATCATTACATTGACATAAAATGTTGGTGTATGTCTTTAAAGTATAAAGTAGGATACAATTTTTAGAATACAAATAACTTAATTCATTTTTTTCACTTGGGTTTACCTATGTCTACAAGAAGAGTACCCCAAGGCCCAAACTTCAAATATACTCGTATGATTTGACTTTCAATACTTCAAATTTCTAACACTACGTTTCGTTCAAGAAATTTGAGAGAGAAAGAAAAAGAAAAAAAAGTGGAAGGAAAAGAAAAAGAAAATGAGAAAGAAAATATTTTTCTTGTTTGGTTAGTGAGAAAAAGAAAAGTGGAAGGAAAAGAAAATGAAAAGACAAAATATACTAAAAGAAGGAAAAATCAAATTCCTTCCATTTTGGTGAAGAAAAATGAGGAAAAACTATTCTCTTTTCCGTTCAAATTCCTTGAACCAAACATAGTTTAAATGGTCAATATGGTACTCCCCCTGTCCCATTTTAAATTGTATGTTTTTTTTCCGTTCCAAAATAAGTTCCTTGTTTCTCGTTATCGTAAACTTTTAAGAGTAAAATATCTAAACTATCCCTAAAATAAGTCACTCATCTCCACCTTATATTCTCATTCATCGTCACTCCTCCTTAAAGGTAATGACAATTTCAGAAAGTCAACTATATTTTTTCTCTTCATTAAATATGCCTCAAAGTCAAAATGAACGATTTAAAAGAGGGAAGAGGGAGTAATAATCAATGGCATAATATGGTTAACTTTGTAACATTTTGATTCCCCCTTATCTTTGGCAACTCACCAAATAATAAAACTAAACAAACATATGGATATGATGATTTCAATTCAATTCCAGATGGAATTTCGAGAAACTAATCATTCTTAGACTTTTAAAAGATGTTTTAACATTAAAACTATACCTAAAACGAGAGATACTGCCTATGTCTAGAAATATTGTATTCTTTAATAAGTGTGTCAAGTCAACATGTGAATAACATTACGAACTAGGGGGAATAACTTACTTAAGCGGTTGCTGTTTTTTTGGCAGCCAAAATAATGTATGATCTTTTTAATGTATGATTGTGCCAATGGGCATATACCTTGGTGCACACTCTTTGGATTGGGCTGTTGGTTGAGTTGGGCCGCCTTTCGTAGGCCTTTTAACTTGCATGATCTTTTTAAAGTCGTTATTAAATGACTAAAAAGTACTCTGCAATAAATTTTATCCCTAAGAAGTATTCAATTAATTAAAATTAATTAAAATGAGTATAAAGCAAATCCAATGATATTATTTTTGTATCAATATCTAAGATCAATTTTATTTAATTAGTGATCAAAGTTCGTCAACTTTGACCGCCGAAAGTCAGAACTAGACCAATAATCAATGACGAAAGGTAGTACTCCAATTCTTTCCAATTTTTCTAACTATTCTCATTTTCTTCAAAGTCTTTTTACTCATCAAATATTACTCTAAAAATGATGTATTTTTAATTTGATTATTATTATTATTATTGTTGTTGTTGTTGGTGTTGTTGTTGTTGTTACGGAATATTATTATTACAATTATTATGTTCATAACTATAGTTTACAAACTATTTCATTTTTTTCATGTCACTAGTTTTATGATTCACACTCTTCTAAATTCATATGAGAAAAATATTTTTCAAATTTTTATAAAAAACTTTGAAAGTCAAATATTTTAAAGAACAATACTAAACTATGAGTAAAACAAAAAAATGTACCAAATGCGAGTTCTATATTTTATTCCCAAAATAAGAGTTATTATGCAAATACAATGTCAATCATTAAAAAAATAGATTTGAACACATTATGTGACAGATCTGATATTTAAATTAAAATCTTGTAGTATATATAAAGTGTACGTAATTACAAATATATCTTTATAATAAATGTTGCATAAATAAATTGAGGTTCAATGTAACCACAATAAATTTTATAAAATTTAACATTTTAATATTTATGCTGAATTTATATTCTAATTACATTTTTTGTGAAAGTAGATTTTTGTGTATGAAAAATAACAATACTTTTTTTATTAAAGACATTGATTAAGATAAGGTGATTTTGAGAATAATATAAAAAATAAACTTAAATAAATTTTTTAATACTTTTTTAAATATTTTTCAATTTTTTCTAATTTTTCTGATTCATCTAATTTCTTTTAGTTTCTTCTTGTTTTTTCCAGTTTTTTCAAGTTCCTTTGAATTTTCTAATTTCTTCCAGTTTTTCTAGTTGCTTCCAATTTATCACTGTTTCTTCCAACAATTAATTCTTTTTTCCAGTCCTAAAGAATATTATATAGGATCTTCAAGCTCAGCTTTATGATCAATTTTCACACAAGAAGCGCCAATATTATATTTTAGGGTCATGCTATACTTACATCAAAAATTGTACCCCATTTGTACACCGCAGTTATACACAAACATTTTGATGGTTTACACCGACACAAGTGTTGGTGCGTTAACAAAAATTTACATGGACATAAAGTGTTGATGCGTTAACAAAAATTAGTTTTACATCAACACAAAATGTTGGTGCAAACCTGCGATATACAAAATGAGGTACAAAAGTTTGGGGTACAAATAGCTTTATCATATATGTCTAGGAACTGGAATTTGGATTTTAAATTGGAATTCCAAATTTTTATTCTAAAAATATAAGTTTGTACTGAAATAATGTGGCATTATATATGGACATTTCATAATACTTTTTGGTATTATATATTACCAAGTAGTGTGATTGACATTATAGATGCATTTTAATTCTTATTTTACGATTAAATTGTTAAAATGAAACTCCTACTTTGATATATTATTTTATGTTTTACTCTAACTTTAGTCTTTTTCATTGATCATGTTTTGAAAATGATGTCTTTTTCATATTATTATTATCATTTTTGTTTTTATCATGTTCATAACTATAGTTTATAAATTCAATTTTTTTCTATTTTTACTTTTCTCATATCACTACTATTTTTGTGATTCACATTCATTATTATTTTTTTCTTTTACCTTTGAATGTAAATAATACATATTTTGTTCATTAATCCACATGACAGAAAACTATGTTCCAAAAATATGGATAAAAGAATTAGGGTATTTTTTATTAATCAAAATTGACCTAGAAAATATTAATATTTTGAATTAAAAATAATAAGTATACTATTTCCACTGTCCCTAATAAAATGGCTTGTACACTATTTAAATTAAAATATGTGTAAAAATAATATTAAAAATTTAAGGAGAAAAGGGGAAGACATTTCCCAGGAGAGGGAAGGGAAAGGAAGAAGAGAGAGTAAAAATTGATGTGGCGCTAAGTTGGAAGAATGAGAAGAGGGGAAGCACACCTCATGGCCTAATATGTAAAATATTATGCACATCAACATATATATAAAGTGTAATTATAAATATACTCTGTTTTATTTTATAATAAATACTCCAAGATGAATTGAGGTGAAATCACTAAAAATTTAACATTTTAATGTTCTACACTACCTTTATTATACTAAATAAATTTATTTTATGAAAGTAACAAGTTTTTTGTGTATTAATTATGATATTACTATTGGGTAATTTATGCAAATAGAACTTAAATATATCACTTTTCCTAAAATAGGACCCGTCCTATCTACTTTAATGCGTGACAATGAAAAATTCTAAAATACCATGTCTTTGAGAAAAATGACCTTTTACACAATTCAAGTAGAATAAGACATTATTAAAAACAACTTGAACAGCCATTAAAATAGTCAGTCATTATCCAACACTTCTTGCTAATGACTATATCCGTAGAGTCATTTGTATAATCAGTCATCATCCAATACTTGTTGCTAAAGAGGGCATATATGGCAGATCATATGAGAATTATGTGTCATAAAAGAAATAAAACATATTTGATCTTATTCAGGAAAATGTGCTACCTTTTAGTGGTCATAATGAGTATAATAATGGTGATGTTGATAATAATAGTAATAACTATTAGCTCCAACCGGGTGTTCCCACTATAATTTGTATAGTTGAGTTGTTAGATCGTGTTGGCATTATTTTTTGACAAAATAAATTGTCCTTTGTATCTATTCGTTTTGTCTTAGCATAGAGTTGTAGTATCTTGTCCGTCATCTAGATCACTTGAAGCTCTCCTATTCAGAAGAGAAGCCTACACTGTTTCGATAACAGGCTGCATTCTGAAATGATTATCCAAAGCCAAGTTACAGAGAGGAGTCTTGGGTGCAAATGTTTACTCCGTGAGCAAGATTGAGAGTCCTTGTTTACACATATTGCTAGAATACGTGAGATGAGGAAGACTCCTTGATGAACACTGCTAGGGTTGGAAGGCACCCTACATATATATATACATGTTGTTGCCTCTCTGTCATGGAGATTAACGAGTGTCAATCTGTGAGGCATATACTGTGAAGAGTGTTCATATCACATGTGAGATCACGCCATATGGCCTCTCTGGGAATAGCGTTAGAGATTAGTGTTTTCAAAGTAATTTACACCGTTAAAATTTTATCCAAAATGCTAACGCTGATCGCTAAAGCTATTCCCAAACAGGCTCATAATATTCATATCTCATGTGAGCGTGGAGATCCTTGAAGCTTGATTTCTACCTGAGAAATCCAGCCTGCATGGGACAAACAAAAATACTTCTTGTGAGTATCTGCTCGCTAACACATCCAGAGGCTAAGTATATTGTTGATCTGAAATAAGGTTGATAACAACATGTCCTTGAAGTTGAACTTGAAGTAGGTATGACATGCCA